CTCAAACCATGTGTTTGAGAGGAAAATTCAAACTAGCTTTTGATTCTCAAACTTATATGGATAGTAAGTGTGTGTGTGTGTGTGTGTGTGTGTGTGTGTGTGGATGCAGACCCAGGAGACAAATGGTCTCACCTCACAAAACTCCATTTTTGATAGATTATGGCTGGCAATTACAGCAATTACAGCACTGACATTCATCTGCCTATAAGAGGTATGTCACCAAAGAATAAATGTAGTGGAGATACAACATAAGGAAGAGACACTATGACTTGGTCACAGTCATAGAAACTACTAGGCTGAGACAATAGTACCAACCCTATCATTTTCTACTAGCTGAATCATTTTCCATATATATGTAATGTCTTTAAAGTTAACTGAGTTAATTAACTTGATTAATTAACTTAACTAAGACAAGACATCTGAAGGCAATCCAAAGTAAATCATCACCCTTCCTTTGTTTGCTTGTATAAAGGAGATCAAAAGCACTGCATACAGTATCCCAAACATAAATATCTCAACTTGCTCAAATCTCTTTCCAGTTAACATTTTGGAGGTACTTCTTTTCAAAGGACTTGTGTGTATGACCTGATCACATATTTTAGATATTGCAAATATATTTGGATATATTTATGTGTAGTAAATAAACTATTATTTCTGCATCTCTTCATCCCAGTAGTCTTTGGGAAAGGTTTTGGTGAAAACTGAAACTGTCACAGCATGTGGTACAATCTCCTACCACATTTATTCTTGTCTTTCCCCACTCCAGTTAAAGAGCCATACACCAGGTCCTGAGCCAGCAGAAAATTATGCCAGCTTAAACTGGCTGCTGCCACTGCTGATCCCTATTCAGTCTCTATAGCCTGAATACAGACTGTTACTACATGGTGGTATTCTTATGTACTGTGTAGAGCAAATGTTAAGAACTCTGCTACCTTTCTTTCCTTCCCCTCCCACCAAATGTCACAAGCTGGCAGAAAAGCATCCACCAATCACTCTGCTTAAAGTGGAATGGGGTTTGGGGAGGAGCTGAATTTTGACAGATGGCTTGATCAGTAAGCAGACTGGTCAAAAGTCACTCCGAATTTTTTATACTTTGTATAGGTGCCTTCCAGATAAGCCTGGCTAATAGCTGACAGGCAGGATGGGGACTGTATAGTGAAGTAGAAGATTAGTAAACACTACTTTAATACCAGAACAGCTAAGGACACGTTAAAACTGCTTCGTGCATGGGCTGGGGATGAGATGAAGGGTTAGGAATGAGATAAAGGCAACATCATGGGGACATGGCAAACAAAGGAGGATCCTGGGGCATGTTTGTCCTATGGTTAGGTACAAGTGGGGAAAGAACAAAGATAAAACAGAGATTCCATGGCATCAACACTCCCACTTTTTCTGTTTTATCATCTTGCTTGCTAGACTTATGAAATTTAGGGAGAAAAATCTGCCCCACCTAGAAGTTCCTTTTTGCCATCATTTATTGGTATCACACTAAGTCATGATTTGCACATAAACTAGGTACACATAACACACTAAACCAAAATCAAGCAAAGCAAATGATGGCTTTGTGCAATTTTTGAAACCAAGAGTTGTTATTCAATCTAGCAGAATTTACCTTTAACCACTCCCCATCCAAGAAGCCTCAGCCAGGGCACTTTGTTTTATCAGGATAGATGTTAATCACATAATAGAGCTACAAAGGAGGTAAATACTCACTTAGATACCTTTAAAAAAGAGATGCAAAGGGCATCTTGAATATAACGAACAGCTTTGGAGCAAGACAACAGTTATGTTGGATCCTACTCCCACCAGCAGAATGGGGAAAAACGTCCAAGTATTTCTCATTTCTTAAGCTCTCTTGTAGTAGACCAGAACTGGACATATGGATGAAAGGAAAAGAAACAAAACTGAAAGCAAGATATTCTGAAGTCAGCAGGTTTAAATATGTTTCAAATTGCAAAGATACCTGCCTTCTTCTCCAGTAAAAACCAACTGTTAGCCTCCAAAAGGCCAGCACTAAGATATAAGCATGTATGTCATAAACATGTCTGTTCTGAGAGTAAATGCAAAGGACGGAGAAAGCAAGCCACTTGCAGAAAAATATACCACAAATGCTTAGGTTTACACAAGCCATAAACTATGATTTACAAGCAGCAATGCCTGGATTCACACAACACGGTAAGCCCAAACCAAACCAATCACATTATAACTTAGTGAAGTGTGGATCCAAGCAAAAAGTCACAAAGGTGATTTTTTTTAAAATCACCTTTTTTACAAACTTCTATCCCTTATCTGGGTTACAGTCATGTCTATGCCAGTTACATATTTCTTCTCTCCAACCACCTTACTGAGTATATAGCAGTCTCTACCATTCCCACTGCTTAAATCAAACACCAGCAGTCTTCTAGCTATTCTACTCTAGTACAACTCATTAAATCAATAAATCAAAACCAATAAAATTGCATATTAACAGCAAAATTAAAACTAAACAAGCATCCAATGTGAACCCCCCCCCCAATATTCCTTATTAATTAGCTTAGCTTTTTCACAATCAGCCAAGGTTTATTCCACATGCTGTGATGAATAGGGCTTCCTATTCAATCCTACAAATATCTACTCATCCTACATATATTTATTCACATTCCATTGACTTTAATAAGGTATCATGTAGATGCTTGTATTGAAGAGGATATGTTTAATATAATTAAACTTTTGAATGATTTAAATTTACTAAAAGATCTACAAAAAATTAAATATGCATACCTGTATAGCAAATTGAACAATACTAAGAATAACATGTTTCTGAAAATCAGCATTACCAAGAAGGTAGTAACCAAACAAGAATATAATTTTATTGTTATAATGAAGCCCTTTGTTACCATGGAAAAAGCTTTAACATTGATTCTACAGTTGACCATTATTTGTTAACATATTTGTAAAAGTTTAGATCAACTATCTTTTGACAGGCTAATGAATTTCTCTATTGTGACTAGCAGCAAGCAAGAAAGACAGTAAAACTGAGAAAGTGTTCTTTATTTAATTTATTTGGTCTAAACAAAGTGTTCTTTATTTATTTAGCCTTAAGAAGGCCAGGAATCACAAAATCCTTCATGTTAGAAACCTACATTAAATATTACATTAAACAATATCAAATATTATCAAGTTGGGGAATGCAATTTCAAAACATTCATTTTTATTTAATCCATGTAATAGAGAGTAATTCTAGAGTAATAGACGAGAGCAGGTAGAACTTGCAATGATGTGTGACATTATGGTGTTCCCTATTCCAGATAGCTACCCATCCCTCTATCAGTGACACCCTATTCTGTTCCTCTCATACGATTTTCTAGGCTCCCTTCCCCAATCAGCAATTAGCAACTGTTTTTCTTCATGACTTATTTTAAATCATCCCACAAACCTGACTTCTCCCTTTTTGTTTTTATTTAAGAATGTACAATCATAGACCAAAAAAAGAGAAAAAAAACACAGAGTTAAAATTCTCCCTTTTTTATCAGTATTATTATATTAAATAGTATTTAGTAATGATACCAGAAGCATGCTCAACATGTATTATAAAATATGTATTTATACAGGTAGAGGAAATTGTTTATCATTATTTTTCTACTACGGCTGCTCTTGTTTAAAAAGAGCAGGAAGTATATATTATATGTTATGTAATGTAGTTTCTGTATACAAACAAAAAGTTTGTGGTTTTATAAACAAATCATGAGTACTTTTTTGGATAAAGGGAATTAAGAAAAACATTACTAATGAATGAGTTGACATAATGAATATATTTTGAATGCATATTATAGCAGTAGCTCTGCTTTTAGTTGCCTTTAAAATGCCTCACTATTGTAAACATGCAATATTTCCAAGACTCTCCAACAACAAATTTGAACAGATTACTAGTTAGGAAGAGAATTGTGTAATGACACCATGGTGGATTAAGGAAGAATGACAGCAGCAGTGAGTATGTAGGAATGTAGCTTAAGGACAAACATGACAGCAGGTGTATCGCCTTAAGGAAGAACATACCAAGACCTAAATTATACATTCCCTAGAATCGTTTCATCACAGTTCATACTCACACAACAGAAAGTGCAACAAGAAAGAGGGGAAAATAACAACAGAATTCTATGAATGTTTACTTCAAAGTAGGCCCCATTATGTTTATATTTTTATTACTACATACAGGATTACAGTTTCAATGGGAACCGTTAGCACTGTTGCACAACAAAGCATGCAAACTTTTTTTAAAAAAAAAAAGAAACTTGCTTAATTTAGGAATTTAAAGCAAATCTAAGTAAGTTCCCAGATTTCTACTCAAGCAGACTGTGGCCCCATTAATTTAAGATTGGAAGAAAAAAAGATTCCAGACCTTGAAAACATGCATTTTCCTTGAAGTTAGATATGCACTCTGAGGTTTACAGAATGTCAGTGAATAGATTTTGCAGGACAGAAAGAAAGAATATTTAGGAAGTGCATTTGTTAAGTACTACCCCTCCCCTCCCCGCTTAGCAATGATGGAATTACTAAACCAAGAAACGTTACATACGCAGTGGCTGCCAGAAACCTTGTATGGATTAATTCTCTACCAGTACTATACAGAACAGGATAAAACTTTTTCCACATTAGTGGAAAACATTTTACTGATGAGTTGGAGGTAGCATACCCTAAAAATTATCCTATTCAAGAGAACAGCTACGTTTCCACATTATACTAGGCTGTTTAAACTAGCTTGTTGAATTACCCATAAGGGCATGGTTGCCAAAACCAAATTAATGACCAGTATGAATCCAGCCAATATTATAGATGTAAATAATACATGCAGGAATTTCAACCAGATATTTATGTTCTATATCATCAGAGGTCTATATTATGAAAAGCATCCACACTATAAATTTATGAGTTTTCAAACAGACTGAAAGGAGGAAAAATTCATCTCTTGAAGTACTCAAAACCAAAACAAGATGTATTCGATTATTTAGAAAGAGTGAGTTCTTAAAGAAATCAGTCCTACTAAAGAGAAATAGGCATCAACACATGGAAACTGTAATTTAATACAAGGATGTACCTAGCCTTTTACAAAGGTAACATTTATAATTTAAAAATTGTCCACATTTCCAGATGAGAGTCTTATAAAACAAAGCACACACTTTGTGACATTACATCTGGGAGATGATTTTTGACTCAGTCAATCTCACAGTGCATCTGTAGAAGAGGGAAAGGTATTCCATAAACCCCCACTGTGAGTTTTCTTCCATCCTTTTCTAGGTGTTCTTTAACCTCTTACATACTTCTCGCTTCATTTCAGCAGATGGCTCAGTTGATCACGCAAATTTGAAGACTGTTCAACGCTGTAGAAGAGTTTAACAAGTGCACATGGATATTTGGATACAATTGCTGGAAAAAGGATTCCACAATGTGAAAGATGGATCTAGGTGTTTCAGAATAAAATAAGGAGGCACGTGCTGTTTTTATCCACTGAACTCCTCTTCCCAAATTATGTAATACAATTGTGAGTAGATTGTAAGAATGGGACATATTTTATTTTTATGAGTAACAAACATTGTTTCAGTATTTAATACGGCACTGATTAAAGTAAAAAGCTCACACACATAAGTAACAAAGAAACATGAATGCAAACAAAATAATAGTTATAATATTAGTTTTACATATTATAGCTATGCAAATTTTTGAGTACATATAGATTGCACTTCACATATTTTTGATAGAAAGGGAGGAGAAAACAAGCAAACTAAGATTAAGTACAATTAAAGTCACAAAAAGGATGCTTACTGGTAGTATGAATTTGATCTAGATTAAGGATATTCCTTATATGAAGTACCTTTCCAATGTAATCATATGCATATTTACTCAGAGGTAAATGTTAGTGTGTCCAATAGAACTTGGTCACTAGTATATTTATTCCAGATTGCAGGCTTCAGTAATAAAGAATCTTATAAAAATCAGTCAGGAGGACAAAAAAAAAAGGATTATGGGAAAAGGTAGAACAATTCCACGTGTGATTTTCTTGGCCGCTAAGTCTTATGACCTTGAAAAGCATCTGAGCCTTCACTGGTGATTTCTTCACATATTTTAAGATACATTTTAAAAAAGTATTTAATGTAGTACTGAATCATTTTTAGTGTTTAATAATACTGAATAATATTAATGTTTTGTATTTAATAATATATAAAGTACAGGTTAAGTAAGCACTGTAAAAAGGCAGCATAATTGTAACTCTATTCAATTTGCGATTTAAAGCACATCCACACAAACAAAATGGATGAAAGCCAAAGGAGATTAAGATTTAGAAAGAGCAGTAACAAAGATTTATCGAGCAGAAATAGAAAAGCTAATGTCCCAATCAAATAGAAACAGCACTTACTTTTTTTGAATAGCTTCTTGCCTAAAGAAAAAAAAAAGACAATGTGAGATGAAGTGAATTTTGAGTTGATAAAAGGAGTCCTGAGTTATCACTGGGGGTCTATGGAAATAAAACAGACTTCTGACTTCGCTGATATATCTAGGACTAAACTGACATACTTAGGTTGTTCTTAATGATGCAAACAAATCTGTGTTGTGAAGAGGGCAATTGAAGACATTAATATCTGTTTTATGCTCCCCATCAGAGCTCCTTAGTTATTTTGTACCCTTTTGGTTGGTATCCAAGAATGCTTGTACCTTGAGTAAAGTGATTCACAAAGCGTTAGGGAACTTAATATAGCCCAAAAGCTGCACTAGATTGCCCTACCCTGCAAAACAGGATGATAGTAAAGAGCAAGGCCTTGGAAAGGGAGGCCTTCATTGCATTCCAAAACTTGGCCCTTTGAACAAAATCCTGCCCTTCTCTGTTCACAGAGAAACAAAGGCAGTTGCTCCTGAATACAGAAAGAACTGTCGTGCTCTACACACAGAAGGGCAGAGTGTGATTATTTAAGTATTTTTTGCTATATGGAAAAAGAGACTTCCCATACAAATCACCTATGAGGGATAAGACTTGCTTCCAGCTGTCATGTTCCTGATAGATAGGCCTTATTCATTTATTTGTATTTATTTTATTCAAACAATTCATAGAGATGCCCATCTCACCAAGATTATATCTGGAAGCTGGAGTTTCCCAGAAATTCCCACATAATCTTTACCAGGTAAGTCACCCGTTGGATGGATATGGGGCCCTAATACCTGTGTAGCATTCAGAATGAGGAAAGCTGAAAAATTGAGAATATTTTTTTAATTTTGAGGATGTGGTAAAGGACAAAAGAAGAATACCCCTAAGAAAACCACAATCTTCCATAAATCAGGCCAAAGTCTTTCTATTTTGGGTGGATTTTAAGGATCATTTAAATTCTGTAAGGCCTCCCTCCATCCCTCCAATGATGCAGTAACACTGACATTAAAAAAATGTGAAGTGCTGATTTCCTGGTCTATACCAATCTCAGTCGCATTTTGGTTGTAAGGGAAGAGCCATGTTAGTCTATGGTAACCAAAAACCAGGAGGAGTCTATTAGCATATTTTCAGACTAACAATGCATCTGAATGAAGTGAGAAAAGCTTCATGAAGATTTATGCCTTTTAATAAAAGATCTAAGTCTGAAAAGATGCTCCCAGATTTTTTTTTATTTTTAGTTGCATTTCCAGGGAGACTAGCCCATCAAATACAGCTTGTGCACTGTGTATACTTACTGATACTGTAGGTGAGTAGTTATAATAGCCATTTTTCTTAAACTCTGCAAAGAGATAGATATGAAGTAAATGCCTTTTCCCTCAATGAAGTTATCAATGCAATCATCATTTGGCATTGCGTGATGAGAAATAATCACATCCTAGATTCTCCTACCTTGGGGAGAATTTGCTGCTTTGAAGAAAACACAGGGGTTTGATAAATCTCTAATTTTAAAATACTGACTTTCACAGATCTAAAACCAAGTTGCTTGATACATTTTTCCATATTAGTAGAGATGATGATGATAATGATAATTTAATTAAACTTGTACGCAAAATTATTTTCTCCCACTAGCAGGACTAGTAAAATATACAACTACCCTCCCACTAGTAGGACTAGTAAAATATACAACTACCCTCCCACTAGCAGGACTAGTAAAATATACAACTACCCAACCATTTGCACACTACAATTCATCACTAGTCACTGAATAAATTCAGAAAAATGAATAATGCAGTCATACATATTTTGGTTAGTGATAAAGAAAGGCTTTCCTAGGCAAAAAAATATAAAAATAGATAAGCAAAAGTAAACTGTTTGAAAAATGTAAAGGTAGGCATCATTCCAAACTAGTTTTCCACAGTCTGATGCCCTCCAGTTGTGCTAGACTACAATTCCCATAATCCCAAACCAAAGGTCATGATAGTGAAGGATTATGAGAGTTAAGAATCCAGCACAGTCAGAAAGCATCAGGTTGGAGAAAGCCACATTAGGCTGAACCCTGAATCCGTGGTCTGGGAACCCAACATGGTGTCCATAAGTACCAATGTATCCACAGACACTTATCTTAGTGTTCCCTGTCCATGCTGCTAATTTTTCAAAAAGATCTTTTAATTTCAAAAGGGTTCCAAAGTATAGTCTCAAGCATAATCAATATTTATAACAATGCCTCTGGGCCTACATAAATCTAGTGCATCCTTAGAAAGAAAAAAAATGTGTTGCTTAAACCCAGTACATTTTTTTGATGTGTGTCCTGCAGCCCAGAAAAAACAAAGCAGAGTTAGGTGTAGATGGCAGAGAGACTTTTGATATGCTAGAGAAGGGTTTCTTAATTTTTTTGTGCCATGGACCCCTTTCAGACTCTGGAGAAACCTATAGACTCCTTCTCAGAAAAATGTATTTAAATGCATAAAATTTAATACATGGATATAAATTGTATTACAAAGAAAACTGATTATGCTCAAATATAGTTATCAAAATATTTTTAAAAATAACAAATATATAGTACTATATGTGAAAAGAAAGTTGTGGGGTTTTTTCCCCATCCAAGTTCCCAAGGCCTCTGAAATCTATCCATGGACCCCAGGTTAAGAATTTCTGCACAAGAGGCAGCAGTGGAAAGCAATGTCACTACTTTACTTTCTGGCAAATGGGTGTTTTATGCTTGGCAATATTCACTCTTAACCCCCCCCCCATTTTTGAGATTTAAGATTTGAGAACATGTTCTGAGCAAATGTGGCCACTGACCCCAAAAGGTTGGAGATCCATGATCTGACCAACTCAGAACCACATGAATGCAGTAGAAAAGTAATGAATTCTGCAACATTTTATCAACTTTATAAGCAACAAGGCCATAAATAATATTTAGACCCTTGAGCTAAACTCATGAATAACTTCATTCAAACTCTTCAGTAGCAAAAACTACATTCCTCCTGATCCGATCTGCATATGTGTGGGAATTCATATGTTTTGTGTTAAAATGATTGCTCCTAACCTTATTTATTAAAATGATTGGTATTATGAACAGAATAAAAACCTTTTAATTTTCAACCCTGAACTTAATATTGCCTTTTCTACATCTCTTGCAACTCCCACAGAAGTATGTATTTAATATTATCGGACTGAGTATTCTATTCCATACTTACATCTTCAGAGTGCAGAATGGCACCCTCTTGCATCACCATATTTCTGGCAGCCTGTCCTAGGAACTAAAAGACATGAAAGCCATAGGAAAAGACATAAACTTTATATTCTGTGAGCCAGTGCTGCTCCACTGTTATTCAAGGTTGACAACGCAGCTAATGGTGAGCTTTCGTGAGGTAATAAGGTCTGGGAATTTCAACCTTATGAACTCACTTTTAATCCAAAAGCAGTAACTTACTGGACAAATATTCTGCACAAAAAGGATTTTCTGAAATTATGTAGAAGTATCTTCATAATAAGTGACAATTAAGAATAAGTGAAATTTCTTGGTGTACTACATAATTTATGATGATTATTAATTTAATATGCTAATGTACATAGTGATTTACAAAAGCTTTTTTCAAACTGATGGCCTCACATTTCTTGATTGCTGATTGTGCTAGCTCAACAGATATATCCTGAGGGTAATGATGCAATTTGTAATTGCTTGTTTGTGAATCAAGGATTCAGTTTGGGGCTGCGGAGACTCTTGTGTAAAACTACAGAG